GATTTTTGGATTTTTTTTTTTTTGTGACAGTTTTTTTTTTTTTTTCTTTGTGTAACCTTTGCTATCCTGGACTTGCTTTGTAGACCAGGCTGGCCTCAAATTCACAGAGATCCCTTACTGATTAAAGGCATTCACCACCACATCAAGCTTGGTGCTCTGTTTCAATGTGGCACATTGATTCCAGAGTCTTCTATTCATCATCCTTCTTACTGCTCTGCTGCAATCACTTCTGGAACAAGTCTCTGTAAACCCAGGGTTGACAGAACACACTTCTAAAACCAGAAGGACTTTACCTCTCATCACGGGACCTTCTTGTCATGGACCCCTTTCACGAATAGAGCCCTTATCGAGTGTCGCTCTTCCTGTGCTCTAGATCCCCACTGCCCACTGAGACAAAAATGGAATCAAATCATAGTTGCTCTTCCGTCTTGTAATAACACACTAGGTGCCAGGGCCAACCTCTTTCTTACTTTCCTGTGCCTTCTCTGTCCTTCATCTTTCTCAGTTTTGATGTACACGGAGCTTTGTTTCCCAAATGAGAATGGTCTCAGAAAGTTGCCCAGCCACTACTAGTGGTACCTGTGTATAATCCTAGAACCTTGGAGGCTGAGTCATGAAGACTGTGAGTTTGAGGCCAGCCTGAGCTGCATAATGAAACCTTATCTCAACAATGTAACCACAACCCAAACCAAACAAGTTTTCCTGAGAGGAGCTTGGATCTTTTTTTTTAATTAAATTTTTAGTTTTTATATTAATTACAGTTTATTCACTTTGTATCCCAGCTGTAGCTCCTCCCTCCCTCATCTCCTCCCTGCCCCTCTCTAAGTCCACTGATAGGGCAGGTCCTCCTCCCCTTCCATCTAACCCTAGTTTATCAAGTCTCATTAGGACTGGCTGCAGTGTCCTCTTCTGTGGCCTAGCAAGGCTGCTCCTCCCTTGGTGGTGGTGGGGAGCTCAAAGAGCCAACCATTGAGTTCATGTCAGAGACAGCCCCTGTTCTCCTTGCTAGGGAAACCCACTTAGATGCTGAGCTGCCATTGGCTATGTCTGAGCAGGGGTTCTAGGTTATATCCATGCATGGTCCTTGGTTGGAGAATCACTCTCAGAAGAGACCCCTGTGCCCAGATATATTTGGTCTTTGTGGAGCTCCTGTCGTCTCCAGGTCTTACTAAATCTCTCTTCTTTCATATGATTCCCTGCACTCTGCCCAAGGTTTGGTTATGAGTCTCAGTATCTGCTTTGATAGACTACTAGGTAGAGTCCTTTAGAGGCCCTCTATGGTAGAGGAGCCTGGATAATAAGGTGTTATATAATAAGGTGTGATATACTCCTGCCCTGAACAATAAAGTATGTCTGCTAAAGAGGTGATCTGGGCCAGCAGGCCTTTCAACACTGGCCAAGTCCTTATAAGCCCTTAGGGGAACTCAGGTCATAAGGGATTTTCTCGTGTACAGGTGGACCTGGAACTGCAATAGAGAGGAAGGGAGTGAGCCATGTGTGAATCACAGAGGTGGCTAGGTTCTGACAGTTACTCTCTGCTCCAAAGTTGCCTTCGTTTGACACTTGAGAAAGTAATCTTCCCTGGTTAGCAGCTGACTGCACCTCCTCAGTGCCAATAGGGTTAAGGGTACACTTCATGTGCTGGGTTTTATACTGTTGAAGGCTGGCCCTGAGACCATTTTGAGTCCCCCTTATCATGAGCCCTGCACAGAACCATCAATTTAGGGGTACTCGGCATCCACCGTGGGTTTTCTTCAGAGCTACCTGACTCCAGACCAGATGCACGAATGATTGTAAATCAGAGAAAGGCTTATGGCAGGTTACTTAGCAAAACAATCTCCCTCTTGAGGCATCTGAACATCATAAAGGTTTCAGAGCCTTCTCTTTTGGGAGAGACTCCATGCTACATGTATCTAAGTTCTGAGCATGTCTCATCACCCCTACTTATCTTAACCACTACCTTAGCTTGAGGCACCATTGTGCCCCCGAGGATTATTGAAATTGCCCTTCAAAGATCCTCTCGTTCTATCCTACCCCTTCAAAAAATATAAGCCAATCCTCTGTTTACTGCTCAGAAACCTTCAATAATTCCCAGTTTGGGCTAGGATGAAAAGCTAAGTCCGTACCATGCCCTACAAAGCCTTTCGTGATCTGAGCCCTACCAATCTCTCCAACCGCAGGTCCTCAGTTCCTGTCACAGATTTGTCTCTCATCTTGATATTCCTGGAAACCTGCCAAGCACACCTTATTTCAAGGGCTAGGGGCTGACTGGTCCCTCTGCCTGGATCATTAGCTATATGGCTTGCTTCCTCATCTCTTTCAAATCTGTGCTACCTGCACAGTATGGCCTTCCACAATACACACTTTGAAACCACACATCCTGCTCTTCCTACCCAAGCCCTTCTCAATCTGTGAAAACTCAGCATCCTGCATCTTTCCTTCTCTGCTTGAACTTTTATCACTCTATACTCTAATTAGGTAATTAATTTCAATCATCTATCTTCCCTCACCAGAATGTAAACTTCTAAAAAGCATTAATTTGTTTTAGTTTATTTTCTACGCTGATGCAACCCAGCCATGTAAAGTAGTGCCTGCAACATACTATGTCATCAGGGTATAGGAGGAGATACTGAGTCTCATAACCAAAATTTTGGGAGAGTGCTGGAAACCTTATGGAAGAAGAGGGAGATAGAAAGACCTGGAGGGGACAGGAACTCCACAAGGAGAACAACAGAGCCAAAATACCTGTGTCCAGGGTGGCCTGCAGAGACCAACACTCCAACCAAGGACCTTGCATGGAGGACCTAGACCCCTGTTCAAAGAAAGCCCATAGGCTGCTCAGTTTCCAAGTGGGCTCCCTAGGGGTACAGGGACTGTCTCTGACATAAACTCAGTGGCTATCTCTTTGATCACCTCCTGCTTGCCAGGCCACAGAGGAAGACGATGCAGCCTGTCCTGATGAGACCTGATAGGCTAGGGTCAGATAGTGGGGGAGGAGGTCCTCCCCTATCAGGAAACTAGGAGGACAAGAGAGTGGATGGCTGGGAGTAGGAGGAGACAAGGGAGGGGGCTACAGTGGGGAAACAAAGTGAATAAATTGTAATAAATAAATAAATAAAAATAATAAAAAGAAAAAAGTGGAATTTTAAAACATTTATTTTTACTATGACATCAAAGGAACATTAATAAAATAGAACTCAATTATAAAAAGTCAAACCTACAGAACATTTCAAAGAGCCATGTGTGAACCCAGCATATGGATTGTACAGACAGTACTTTGATTTGTTTTATTTATCACCTACCTGTCCTTCAATAGATTCCTCTGTCAACCTATAGATACACATTATGTACATTGAAAATAACTTGCAAACAGCATATTCTTCATCCCAAGCATATTAGCATTGATATAAGTTCAGTATTTTTTTTTTAGGTGAAGTTTGCCTGTGGTAAAATGTAGAAATTGTAAAATATATATGTATTGAATTTAAAAAGACTATTTTTTTCGGGAGGCAGAGGCAGGTGCATCTCTGTGAGTTTGAGGTTGGCCCGTTCTACAGTGAGTTCCAGGATAGCCGAAGCCTACACAGAGAAACCCTGTCTCACCCCACCACCACCAACAACCAAAAAAAGTTATTTAAAAAGACCATTTTTATTGCACTTATTTATTGTGTTGGGGTGGGACACGAACATGCCAGGGGACGTGTGTGGAAGTAAAAGAACAATTGAAAGAAGTCAGAGTCTCAAGGGTTGAAATCTGCTTGTCAGGCTTGGTGGTAAGCACCTCTATACCTGCTGAGCTATCTCATCCACCTAAGTCGCTTTGGTTTTCAAAACATATTTTTAAAATTCACTTCTTTCATGTGTGTGAGTGTTTTAGTAGCATGTGAGCCTGTGTGCCAGCTGAAAACCTGGTGTGCAGGAAGGTCAGAAGAGAGTGTTGGCTACCCTAAAACTACAGTTATGGACAGTTGTGGGCTGCCATATGGGTACTAGGAAATGAATCTTTGTCTCCTATGAGAACAACAAGTTGCTGGAGAGATGGTTCAGTGATTAGGAGCACTTGTTTTTTAAGATATATTTATTTATTATTTATACTCTGCCTGCATGTCTGCCTACACACCAGAAGAGGGCACCAGATCTCACTATAGATGGTTATGATCAACCATGTGGTTGCTGGGAATTGAACTTCAGACCTTTGGAAGACAATCCAGTGCTCTTAACCTCTGAGCCATCTCTCCAGCCACCCTTCCCCATACCATGTATTTTAACATCTGCTTTTGATATGTGCAACTCAAAATCCTATCAAGATATTGAGAACATTACTGTCCCCTGCATTTCCATCAAATTACTTCTCAGTCAATCCTTAGCAGAAGCAACAATTTACAGATGCTCTGACTTTTCATGACATACAAGTTTTGTCTATTCCAGAATTTTGTGAATGCAGAAACACACAGGATGTACTACCATTTGTCTAATCACCCAATAGAAAACTTGCTCAGCACCCACTCTTTGCCTGCACCCACCTCTTTTCCTGTGAGTACTGACCTGAAGGCCGGGGGTGTTTCTATGCTTAGCCTGTGACCTAGTCAGCCCTCCAGCTATGTTCTTACCAAGATCATCAACAGTTGGGCCCAGAGAGATGTAGACCCCGAGTCTGCCCCATTTGACTCCATTTTCAGACTGGGATTGGCAGCCACTCACTAACCCTATCCTGCCCACTCACTTCCCACATCAGGGCTTCATTCACTATCCAGGTGTGCAAGGAGGTGTCACAATCCCAACTCCGGCTGAGCTCAAATGGGTCAAAGTGCAGCTGGAAGGAATTGGACAAGCAGAGGTGGTAGACGGCCCTACACTCCTGCGGAAGGGTGGGGCAAGGGGCGGAGAATATGCAACAGCTGAAGAAGAAAGCCCAGGAGAGGAAACATGGCAAGCCCCAGAGCAGTCAGGGCTGAACAGCCAAACAGCATTTACCTGGAGCTACTGAGATTCTGGACATAATGTTCTGGCCCACCAAGAAGGACCTCAAGACTGCCCTGGAAGTCTTTGCTCTTTTCCAGTGGGCCCTCAGTGCCTTGATTTTAGGTGAGTCTTTAAGCTACCCAGGGGCATCCAACCACATGAGCTTGCCTGGTATTGAGGGTTCTATGATGGTAGGATGGTCAATGCTCAAAATTTGTGTTGTTCCAGGCAAACTAGAACAGTTGTTTGCACTGGCCTGTGGCCTCACCCACCTAGGCAGGTATTTGTGGGATCTGTTCAGGACTGCATGGGTATGGGCACGTATGTGTCTGTGCAGGGCTCTGTGTGCGTGTGGGTGTGTGTGAATGTGTACATGTGAGCGCATGTGCCTTGCTTTAGGTTTGACTAGTGAGCACTACACGGTCTACACTGAGGTGTAGAGCCCATGTTGTGGAATCATGGCAGGCAAATTCACTGAAGCTAGCCAAGGAAAAGGGCATGGCAACAACCACAGGGAATCAAGCAAACTGTGATGAAAGAGTTAGCTTCATGACAGAGGGATCTTTTGGAAACCTCCTGCCAGAGAATTTAACCATATGTCTACCATTTTTCAACATCTCTACCATTGACCCTTCGTGAAAATTATACATTGGTCATAGCGTTTTATATACTGGAAGTAATGATCACTATAGGAGGGGTCCTGAGAAACAATTCTTGCTTGAATAGCAGTTCATGTGAATCCTGACAGGAGTCAAGGGCATGAATTAAGTGATCTTGTCAGTGCTCTGGGAATGAAGACTATAGGTAGGCCTTGCAAACATGAACCTGGCACTGTGGCTTGCCAATGAATAGTGTAGTGGACATTTCTTACCTCAACCAGTTATCAGACTAGAGACACAGAGTGGGAGGGGTAGAGTTAGGTACTAGAACCATTTAATAATACTTAGTGAGGGGCTGGAGAGATGGCTTAGTGCTTAAGAGCACTGAGTGCTGTTCCAGAGGTCCTGAGTTCAATTCCCAGCAACCACATGGTGGCTCACAACCATCTGTAATGGAATCTGATTCCCTCTTCTGGTGTGCATGAAAACAAAGTATATATAAATGTTCATACACGTACAATAAATAAATAAATAAGTCTTTAAAAAAATAATACTGAGTGAGAAATGAGGGCAATTAGAATTGGTAGAAACTAGATGAAGAGATTTTAAATATTATTTTGGTCCAAGTATTTTACCGGTATTATTTAATTTTAACTGATGCTAATCCTATGCTGTACTGATAGCTAAATAACACTCTGCAGACCAGGCTGAGCTCAAACTTACCACCTGCCTCTGCCTCCCATGTTCTGGGTTTAAAGTTGTGTGCCATCACACCCAGATTGAGTTGATTCTCGAAGTACAAATAGGAAACAGATGAAGAAGAGAATGAGCCTTGGGAACAGCACATAGGCACCACAGGAAAAGGCCAGGGTGAGTGAGAATCTGAAGTATGCAAAAGGCTGACAGTGATTAATCGAGTTGGGAGTGAGCTCAGAATTTTCACTTAGTACACTTTTATGAAATGAAGGAAGGGCAGAGGGAGGAAGAATTAGAGGAGTAGGTTGGAGGAAAATTATATAGAATACTGAAAACTGTTTGAAGAAGTTTAGCCTTTTTATTCAAGGTCATGAGGAGCCGGGGTAGGGTTTAACATGGGATGATGACATTAAGTTTGTGATTTTGAGAGTTTATTGCAGCTCTTTGAAGGAAACCAATTACATGAAGACAGGGAGGGAAGCAGTGATACCAGGTTTAGCAGACTGTCGAGAGATGGGATTTGAACCAGGCTGGCAGTGATGGGGATGAAGAGAAGAAAGGCTATGAAACAGTCACAGACTCAGAGAAGAATTAATATAACATGAAGATTAAAAAAGAGGCTAGTGAGAAAAAGAATAAAGATCAAGGCTTCGAGTCCCAGCGTGAACTTGCCGAAGGGCAGGTGGTTAAGAAACAGGTCAAGAATGGCTGAAACAAGGGTGAGTACAGGGAGTAAGCTGTCCCTGGGGACCTGTACTTCAAGTTTTTTCTGTACTGTATAGAGTGGTAGTGAAGCAAGAGTTCTTGGTCCTGGTGACTGGAGATGTGGGTACCAGAGCTAGCGCTTCCTTTACCAATGGGACCCGTGTGTGTGTGTGTGTGTGTGTGTGTGTGTGTGTGTGACCTTTCTCAGCCTTTCCAGTTCTTCCTTGGTAGGGAATCATATATATTTGGACCCTAAATGCCTTGAGAGATGACTTCCATGAGAACTGTGAGGAAGAGAGGGAGGATACTGACATTTTTAACTCTCATTTTGCAGATGAGGAGCTCAGGTTTAGCCATGTTAGTGGCATAACAAGGATTCATTCCATTCCAGGGTGGTGCCTGAGGCCACATTCAGGAGACGTCTTTAGGTGTGGCTTGAGTTTGAGTAAACCTTAAGAGAAATGAGGTATCTTTTGGATTAGACTCATACCTCTTATTATCTAAGAAATTTTATGTGACCCATGTCCAGAAGCTACAGCTGCAGGCTTTTGCTCTATTCCTCAGTGGCAGTCATTATCATTTTACTGAATTTTACTATTTGGGTTTTCTTAACACTGTTATTGTGTGATGTAAAAATTTTAGCCATTGTCTGTTTACTTCTCAACATGGGAAATGAGAATTGAGCGCTATATGATATTCATTGAATATCTTTACCTCTTCCAAAGTTGTATTTGTTTCTCCTCCTCCTCCCCCTCCTCTTCCTTTTTTTTTTTTGGAGAAAAGATCTCTCTACATAGCCCTGGATGTCCTGGAACTCACTATGTAGTCCAGGCTGGCCTCCAACTCACAGAGGTATACTTGCCTCTGCCTCTGAGTATGCTGGGATTAAAGGCATACACCAACATATTAGACCCCTTTCAAAATTCTTATAGCACAGATTTAGTTAAATATCTGACCACAACTGTGATATATGGCATACCGATATTATATTTTCTTGTTTTTATCTTGGAACAAATAGTTGGCTTATTTAATCTTTTATTTAACATTTTTTTTTAAGATTTATTTTTACTTTATTGTGTGGATGTTTTGCCTGTGTTCATGTAGGTACACCATGTGCTTGCCTGTTGGCTCCTCTGCAGTTGTAAATGGTTGTGAACCATGATGTGATGACTGGGAATCAAACCCAGGACCTCTGCAAGAGCAACAAGTGCTTTTTAACTGTCGAGCCATCCACCTAGCCCCTAATTTTTTTTTCATTTACTCCATATCTTTTAGTTATTACTAATTTACCCATAAGCATTTCACACATCTGGTAACCTTTCAGTATCTGCAAACACATTGGGGAATCTTTTACACTTCTCACCTGTTCCTTCCTTGAGGCCAGCATTGCTGGAACCCAGCATCTCCCTGTTACAGTCTGCCCTTATGCACATTTGTTATTACCAGAGTGCTTGAGGCAACAGAGGTGCAAAATGAAAGGTATTCACTTTGGGGATATGCAAATATTAGGCCTGACTTGAATGTGGACAAAAGTGTGTGTGTGTGGGGGGGGGGTCTCTTTAAATTTGTGCCCCAGGTGCCTTGCTTATTTGTTTCCAGCCCTACCCCCTCTTTGTTTTCTTTCTCTGTTGGACCTTTCCACCATGGATTCTATGTCTTCTCCCTCATTTTGGTGAAGCATGTCATCTAGTAGTATTCAGGAAAAAGAGGACATGTGAGACAAATTATCTTCAGACTATGTGGATGGTATCTGAGAACGTAAAATTGTCCTCTTAATTAAGCAATTATTTTGTGGCATATAGAATATTTCAGCTGTAGTCTGTGCAAGTTCAGAAGTTCTCCGAATGACAGTAATTTGGAAAGACAATGAATTATGAATACATTAGCCAAGTGAGGTGTTTTACATCTGTAATCATAACGCTTTGGAAGTTGAAACAGGATTTCTATGAGCTGAGACCACTCTAGGCTGTCATACTGTAGTGTGAGGCTTTGTCTCAAAGCAGCCAACTAAACAACAAACCCACAAACAAGAATACATTTGATACACCTACTGTGACAAAACATCATAGCTTGGTAACCAGAAACACTGCCCTGCAGGGCTAGGGATTCTCATGCTAGTGTGGCTGACTGGAAGCTGTGGCTTTTTGCTGCTGTCCATCACGAAACAAGACTGTACCACATGTTGCTAGCCCGGGACAGGGCACAATCCCGTTTCTTCCAGATTCCTGTTGCCTTTCAACCCCCAGAAAGTGCAAAACATTATAACTGTTATGTTGAAAATCACCTGTCTCTGAATCCAGAATCTTTTTGGTTCAAATTTTCCGGGAACAATCCTCCCATCAACCATCGTGCAGAGGAGAAGATGCCTAGTGTTCTAATCAATTTCTCGTCCGAAATTCATCTAGGCTTCTGATGTTTGAGCCTGTGCTTCATCCCTGCTTCGTGTGATGATGCCTGATCCTTCAGATTCCAAGTGTTTTCTGGCTTTTCTAAAGAAGCAAACAAGCTTCCTGTAGGCATCTCCTTTATGGATGGTTAGAGATTGTTTTTTTTTTTCTTTTTTTCTAAGCTTGTTATTTATCCCTTCATCCACTTTACATGAGCAAATGTTGTACTGATACTTCTCATCTACCATTGGCACATTTCTGATTCTTCTCTTTGTGGACCTATATTTCTAAACTATTTTGATCATTTTCACGAGGCTCCAATAAGAAGTCAAGACAAAAATGTGTTCAATCTATTATTGATTTTTGTTTCTTTGTTTTTCTAACCTCTATTTTGACCCACTTCCTCACGTAATCTTAGTCTTGGCTGCTTACATTTCCAGTAATAATTCCAACTGAATGTGACACTCCATGACTCTTCATTCTTTCCCATTATTCTTATCTTTAGAATTTCTATCTTGCTTCAGCTGAGCACAGCCCCTTATTTTATGCTAGTCCACCATTGGCTTACCATTGACTCTTGTTTCCGATGTGGTGAAGATAGGCGCTGGCTTTCTCTGGCATCTCCTCCACTGACCACCTTACAGCAGTGGTTCTCGGCGTTCCTAATGCTGTGGTCCTTTAACACAGTTCTTCGTGTTGTGGCAACTGCTAACCATAAAGTTATTTTCATTGCTTCTTCATAACTGTAACTTCACTACTGTTATGAATTGTAATATAAATATCTGTGTTTTCTGATGGTCTTAGGCGACCCCTGCGAAAGGATCATTTGACCCCCAAAGGGTTCGCGACTCACAGGTTGAGAACTACTGCCTTACAGAGAAGATGTTGAGAAGAAAATATAAGTTGGAGAAAAACTGTTTTAAGACTTCAAATGCCCAGTGGCCATCAGTGGCCTCCCACCCTTACACACTGTATCCAGAGCCTAGCATAGTGCTGGGACAGGCTCTGGGGTGGGAGGCCTTGTTGTTTGAAGCATAGCAATGAGGAACACATTTTTCTTCTAGATCCAAATAAGGTTTAGAAGGTCAAGGGGACCTGCAGTGGGTACATGGCCATGTGGGCTACCTGTAAGGTAGGGAAGTGACTGTCGAGTGGGCCTAGGTCAGAGTGTGTGTGACCTTGAGGTCGATGGAACTCAGCAGGGGAGTATGAGTTTGAGGAACTGTTCACAATTCATTGACTTTGGGCTGGATGGAACTCAGGGTGGGGGGAGTATGAATATGAGGGACTGTCCACAGTTCATTGACTTTGGGCTGGGTTCCCTCTAGTAACCACTGTGATCCTTGTCAACCTCTACTTGGTGGTGTTCACATCATACTGGCCTGTCACTGTGTTGGTGCTCATCTGGTTGGCTTTTGACTGGAAGACCCCTGAGCGAGGTAAGGGCCCACTGGGATATATTGCTATATATTCCTCCCGCTATTCTTCTAATCCTGAGAGGCTCTGGTCAATTTCTGAGCAAATTTTCAGCCTGTCCATCCATGGGCTAGGAAAGCTGATGGAAGGGGTACTTTTGAGGTCTTGGAAAGGCCCATTTTGAACTGGAGTTGCTAAGAGGAAGAAAGGGGTTGGTTTGGTTAATGAAACAGAGGTTGGGTCTGTCCTAGGTTGGTCTTGATATGCCTATTCTAGTTGCCATGTAAGAGAAAAGGAAAAGGCAGAGAGTAAGAGGGCCCCATGGTAGTCCAAAGGGACCCAGAAAAGGAGAGTAGGGGTGGATAGAGCTTCTCTGTGCTTTCAGGTGGCCGCCGGTTTGCCTGTGTGAGGAGGTGGTCTCTGTGGAAACACTACTGCAATTACTTCCCAATCAAGGTGAGCCACAGAGAGCTGTAGTAGATCCCTGGGTGAGCATTCAGGTCAAAATTAGAGGTACAGGGCACAGCCACATGGAGGGCCCAAGAAAGCGATGACCCCTGGAGATTCATGTTACCCAGCCTGCATTGCTGGAACCCACAGTCCTTCCTCTTAGAGTTTTCTTCCCAAAAGAAAACTCTTTGTCTCTATCTCTCCTGTCTCCATTGTCCTCTACAGATTGTGAAGACGAATGACATTTCCCCCAGCCAAAACTACATCCTTGCCTGCCATCCTCATGGGCTCATGGCCCATTCATGCTTTGGCCACTTTGCTACTGACAGATCAGGCTTCTCCAAGACCTTTCCTGGTATCACTCCTTATATGCTCACACTAGGAGCCTTTTTCTGGGTGCCTTTCTTCAGAGACTATGTAATGGCTACAGGTGAGTGGCTCCTAGGGGATAAAGTCACATAGAGGGCTATCTGAAGGAGAACCAGGCGATGTGAGAGAGCAAGGGCAAATTTGAGATCTTCCCAAGTGCCAAACAGCTTCCTAGAACCACAGACTGGAGAGGATGAGCCTTGCTTTCCTGTTCCTTAAAGAAGGAGGTGGGGAGGAATAGTCTTATGGGGGCTGGGAAGCAACCAATGACCTCTGGCTTTTTCTGCCTACCAGGGGCCTGCTCTGTGAGTCAATCCTCCATGGACTTTCTGCTTACCCAAAAGGGCAAAGGCAACATGCTTGTTGTGGTGGTCGGTGGCCTGGCTGAGTGCAGACACAGCCTGCCAGGCTCTACCACCCTGTTCCTGAAGAAGCGGCTTGGTTTTGTTCGCACGGCCCTTCAACATGGGTAAGGCTCACTTCAGGGGCATGGGATGGGATGAGGTGGGGCACCTGTCCAAAAGTCTGGCTGGAAAAAAAATACCAGGCTTTTAAAAATTGGTATTTAAAGAGAAAGGAGGAAGCATTCAAAGAATTGTTATTAAATCGAACCACCATAAAAATATATGCTGTGTGTATGTGGGTTGTGTGTGTGTATGTGTGTGTGCACCTGCCCATGAATCCCTGCCTGTGGAGGAGAGAGGTCAAATGTGTGTATTGTTCTTTAGCTCAGTCCACATTTTTCTTGTGTTTTTGTTTTGAGACAGGGTTTGTCACTGGCCTGGAATTTACCTGGTAGTGTATGCTTAACCACCAAGCCTTAAAGCTCTGCCATCTCCACCTTCCTAGTACTTGGATTACAAGCATGCTGCCATACATGGCTTTTTTTTTTTTAATGTGGGTTCTGGGCATTGAACTTAGGTCCTTATGCCTGTATGGAAAGCAATTTACCAACTGAGCTATCACACCAGCCTCCTTTTTATTTATTTATTTACAAATTTATTCAGTTTTGTCAGTTATAAACAAAGAAAAGGACAAAGGGAAAGAAAAACACCTATGGGTTGGAATAGAGCTGGGCAGGGTGCTGTCTTGGAAGCCTTGCACTAGCCTCTCATTCAACCCAGTCTCTCTACAAAAGGGCTATGGTTGCAGTTTAGGGCAGAGAAAGCCAAACTTCTTACTGTGTGGCCTAAGGGGGAGAGAAGCATATGAAATGGCTTTTGGTCATTTTTTGACAAGTGGTTCCAATTTGGGCATTCCAATGAACCACTAAGCTTGATTCCTTTTAGAAGTTGCTGCTTTGTCTCTAAGAGCAGACTGGCCTAAGCCATGTGCCACCAAAGCCAGCTGTGACTTTGGTACAGATAGACTTTGAGGTCTAGGGAGAGTGTAGGCAGACCCAGGAGATGTCAGTGGTCAGCATGCCTTCTACATATTTTTGGGTATTCAAGGACACACTTTTCTTCTGCAGGGTATCTCTAATCCCTGCTTATGCCTTTGGAGAGACAGACCTCTATGACCAGCACATTTTCACTCCTGGGGGCTTTATCAATCGCTTCCAGAAGTGGTTCCAGAAAAGGGTACACATCTATCCCTGTGCTTTCTATGGCCGCGGCTTCACCAAGAACTCCTGGGGCCTTCTGCCCTATTCTCAGCCAGTGACCACTGTTGGTGAGTGGCTCCTTTTATTAGAAACCTTGGTTTAAGTTCTAGGATTCATTTATGTGGCTGAGCCTCAGCCCCAACTGTGGTTGGAGGCAGGGAGGATGGCTAGGAAGGGATGAGCACAGGGTCAGTGTGGAAAGAAGGTGGGCTCCAGGCTGTCTTGAGGAGTAAGCTATTCTGATGTTTCCTCCTCTTCCTTTCCCCTTGGCAGTCGGGGAACCTCTACCACTGCCCAAGATTGAGAATCCGAGCAAGGAGATTGTGGCCAAATACCACACCCTCTATATTGAAGCCCTCCGCAAATTGTTTGATCAGCATAAGACCAAGTTTGGCATCTCAGAGACCCAAGAGCTGGTGATAGTTTGAAAGGCATTCCCCTGACTGGATGGTGTGGAACTGGTGACAACAGGCCACAGTTACCTACGGAGCTTCACTTCTGACTTGACTATCCTCGCTAGTGGGAGGTGGGGGTGTGTCCATTCGGATGTTTTCTGTGCCCATCCTTTTCCACGTCCATCTTTCTCCTAGAATGTTTATTTTTTTTCTTTTCCCCTGCGACAGAGAAGACCCTAGGCAGAGAGGTTCACTGAAGTCACTGCAAGTTCATGAAAGCATCAGCACGGGAGAAACCTTTGGATAGAATAAACAGCTTATCTCTGGTACTGTGTGTTCCAGCTAGTCTGTTTTGAGGGCTCTAGGACCTTGTGTGTGTGTGTGTAATTCTCCTAGTTTCAAGATTCTTACAAAATTGGGTATCTCAAGAGCCAGGGAACATTGGCTTAGTCAGCAGCATATTCGAGACCTATGATTTTTATGGGCAATCCGTCACCTCTTATCCTGTTTATTCAACTGTAAAATAGGACTAACGATCCTTCCCCTGATTACATCAAAGGTTACTGGCAAGTTTAAATGCTACTGCACATGACTAAAATTGGTAATCTGGAGAGCAACACAAAATTATTCTCCTTCAGCTATCTAACCCATTTCTTGTCCCTAAGAAAACAATGTCCTAAAGTCCATTGTGTCTTAGTTTCTAAAAGAAAATTCGGGGTGGTGTGTTGAATGTTTAAGGAATTTTATATCCCTTGGTGATCCTTGTCCATGTCTACTTTCCACTTCATAAAGTTATATTGGAATGATGAATGGTTTAGATCTGATTCTCCCATTTCCCCCTCAGAAACTTGCTTGCACTAGCTTGGCCGTATTAATGGTGATCTTTGTTTGATAATCAGATGGAACATTTGGTCCCCAGTAGCCATGAAGAACTTGCTTTCTGGGTTTCTGAGTGGCACATCTCTTATACTCTTAGCCCAATGATTGCTGCAATCACATATTACACAGTTTGGCTTAAAGGCCCTCTTGGATAGATGTCATATGGTCCAATTATTTATCCGCATTAAGTTTATCAAGTTGGTTTAAGACATCCTGTGTACTTACTACAGTGTGACACTCCCCTCTATCCTAAATATCTATCTCATGTGGTTGGTTGTACATTGTAGGCAAAGGCATGATCTCCTGCCTGTGCCATTCCTTATGTCAGAGGTTCCATTTTCATTGAACTTCCATGAGTTTTTCTTTTCTTTTCTTTATTCTTTTCTTTCTTTTTCTTTTTTTTTCCTTTTTTTCTTTTTTCTTTTTTTGGTGCTGGGAATCAAACTAAAGTTATGATCTACCACTGAGTGACATCGTAAGGTGTTTTAAATTTTTCAGACTTCTGCAAGTGAACTCTTCTCTTTAAAGTAGCCACCAACCTGGGTATCACTATCCAAGCCATGCTCATCTGGCCATTGCATGTCCATCCACATTACTTAAGGGCCACATTTCCATAATAGGACAAAGACTGCTGGGGTTGTGAAAAGTTCCCATAACTATTTTGAAGTACCTATTATTATTACCTATTATCTTTTAGGGGGATCTCTTTCCTTAGAATAGTTTCTAGGGGTTTCTCTAGCAAACAACATGAGGTCATTCAGTAGAGGCAATGTGGTAGAGTGGAAAGCACACTACGGAACAAGCCAAGCTGAGGCAATTACTAGTTGAATGGTCTTCGAGGAGCTACTTAACATCCTTGAGCATTGGTTTTGCCTGCAAAATGAGCCAATTTGTATATTAATGAGGAGTTGAAGGTTGGATGTCTCCAAGATGTTTGGGGCAAGGCTTGAAGTTTCGTAGATGCCACATCCTCAAGCTGAAGGTGGCCCCATGCTGTCTGTTCTTGTCCCATGACAATATGCCTGCTGGCAAGATATCAAATATCTAAGGCTTAGAGTTCTAGAAGAGCTAAGGTGAATGTAGTGGAGGGATGTAATTTGGTGCAAGGAGACCACGTGGGATGTACTGATAGAAATTTGAGTCTAGCTTCCTTCTGGTGCTCTCACTGAAGTGGGTTCCTTTATCAACCTGGAGATCACAAGTGGTGGCATCACTTGCAAAGAAGCACATGACGTAGGGAGTGCTCAAGATGATCTCAGGAATGGGGATGGGAGCACTTTATTTGCAAAGAATCAACCGTTAATTTACACAAACTTACATCCCTGTTTATATACATTATATATAGTTTATATACACAATATCTCACACAGGATGCTGATCCCCCAAAGCAGCATTGGGCCTGCTCCAGGCCATTCTCCTCTTACCCCCATCTCAGCTAGACCCTTTTGGAATAAGGAAATGACACATGTCACCCTCTCCTGGAGAGAGCCCTGAAATGGGTTAAGAAAACATATTAGGCTGTGTGGTGCACATGGCCCAGGGAGGCCCCAGGCAAGGATGGGACCTCAGGCAAAACCAGGGAGGCCTCAAAACTGTCTTGTGCAGAGCCAGTCTAGGGCCTTCCAGCCCAGAGGCAGGAGCTGCGCCAATGTCTTGGGGAATAGCTTCACTCCCTGCCAGGCCAGGCTCATAAAGGGAGATGAGCACTTCTAGCCTTGAGTCTGTGGGTATATGAAAGAGGAGGCCCCATGGGACAGGCTGCTCTTCCCCTTTCTACCGATGGGTCTGGAGGTGGGGGCCTGTTCACTGTCCTAGGAGGGCCACTTTCCCTGTTTGGACATCAGTTTCACATGAGTAGGTTGGGCTGCATTTCTTCTAAAAGCCTTTCTAGATCCACAATGCCTCTAAATCTGTTTGCATCCACTAGATGATGCATAGAAGCAAGCATTCCCATGAGGACCATAGCCCTTGTTTGTCTCTTAGGGAGCCAGTCTGCTTCCTGTAGTCAAGGCTATGGTCCTTAACCTTTTCTTACTAAGCTACGGAACTGTGGCACAGGATGGATAAAGGGGCAACATCTCCCCTGCTTCATCTTCCAGGGAACCAGCAGCCAAATAACATCCAGCAGCTGCCTATTGTGCCAACTTGGCTTCTGAAGTTCAAGCAGCTGGTAGAAGCTCCTGCCACACAATTTTCCTTAAACCTGTCATCTGTTTATCCAAACATGTCCTTATCCCATTCTCTATCCTAACCTTGGGTTAACTTCACATCATAACAATTCCAAACTCTAAATAACTATCACTAGACTTCTATCAGTAAATGCTTTACCACTTTGCCAAGAGAAACAGGCCTCCCTGCTCTCTACTATTTCACGCTGTCCAGCTCTCTTCGTCTAGGGCTCCTTGTGAGAGTTCAGAATGAACAAAGGCTTGTGAGAAGCCCAACTCTCCTATAATCTCCATGTGCATGCACATGCACAATGGGGTGCCATGTCCTGCAGAGGCACAGTTAGGACACCTCTTTATCTCCCCACAGCCATATGGCTTAAGAATGGTCCTCTAAGGTTTCCCCTCCATTCTTGAGAGGCTCTGGGAACATCAAGGTCTTTGTAATATGGAAGGAGAGAAGGAGTCACACTTGACTACAGCGGGCTCAGAGAACTAGTGTCGAGTTTTGGGAATGGAAGACTGTGTCCTACCTAGAAGCTCCTTGTGTGATAGCTGCTGCTGCTTTTATCAGATGGGTGAAAGATCATGAAGGCTGCCAGGTTTGTGAGGCCCAGAGCTCAACTGGAAGATTCTTCTCAAGACAAGAACTCATAAGGTTGATCGCTGGGCTGTTTCCTAAGAAAACCCCCAAGTCTTCTTCCACAGAGTCCCTGGCAGCCAAGAGAACGGGAAGTACCATCAAGTAATGAAAATTAGGCATTGCTATGTTTCTCCCAGGGCTCCCAATGATGTCAGTTCCATATTATCACTTTTATTTTTTTTTTCTGGACCTCAAATTCTACACAGTGCTGTGGTAAGAGACCAGCTTGGGAGTCAGGCATCACTAAAGGCTAGAGTCTGTGACTTATACTGGGTGAAATCTTAGTCAGAACACTTTATCTCCCTCAGCCTTACCTATACAATGGTAACTGTGATATCTATCCTCTGTCCCTTCTTCTTTAAAGGAAGTAATAAAAAAAAGGAAGTAACCTTCAAATACTAAGGAGAGGGTTTCCAAGTTCCTGTTACCACTGCTGATTGCTCAGGGCCTTCAGGGTCATATTCATGGCTAAACTTCACATGCTTTTCTGTGGTAAGGCTGTCATTGGCCTACTTCATCTTACCCTGACCCCTGAAGTACCCAACAATGGAAATGGAGGTACAGTTTAGAAATTAGTAATGTTGTTCTTGATGAATTTCAGCGATGCAGTTCCCATATTCTCAAAAGGAAATACATTTCAGGAGCAAGAGGAACAGACTGTACAAGATTGATACTCCCAGCTTTGGGTTGTGCGTGGAACCCTGAAGCCAGCCAATTGGAAAGAAGGTTGATGACTAATCCTAGCATATGACCATGCAGGAAAATTGGTGGAGGTGCCTTCGGATCTGAACTAGGGGCCAGATTTCTGCCTAATAGTCAGACAGCTGGTTTCTCTTGAGCCTGTCTCTATGGGAGGAGCACAGACCTCTATAGTGGCAATAATATGCTTCTGAAGAAAGATCTAGCTAGCGGGCCATCAGCTGCTGTTCTTTCAGGTAAGACCTGATCTAACGATCACTTGTGTTACAACAAACATGAACAAAACTCCCTGTTTTATCCCTATTTCTCCCCATTTCTGGGAAAGGTAGAAAAGCTCTGCTTTGATGGTATCCAGGGGAGTCTAGGGTTTGGGAAGCCTAGAATCCACTGTGTCAGGTAACTGTTGAGTGCCACCTATATTCAAATTCTAAGGAGATTTGGAGGTTATCCAGTTTAGTCATCTGTTCCCAGACAAAAATTGATTGGAATTAGATGAGTAATAATTGTATCATCCAATCAATGGAAAATTCTTTGTGCCAGGAAATTAAAACAAAACAAAACAAAACAAACAAACCATGAAGCACCTGTCTCAGACAGAGGTAGGCACTGCAGAGAAAGAAGACTGAATTTTTAGTTAGTCTGGGGAAGGTGACAGGCAAGGAAGACTCCAGATAGTTTTCTGAGAGTGGAGCATAGCTAGCTGTAAACAAAGTGAGACATGCATGGCCCCAAGTATAGTTTCAGGTTCTTTCATAGGCAGGGTTGTGGCCATTCCTGCAATTATTCCAAGGCAGAGCAAAGTTCCTGGCTTTAGAGTCCAGAAAGTTACCACAGTATACCTCTTGGCCTGAGTGGGACGTTTCTTTGAGCCTCTTGTAGGTCATAGTGCAATGCAGCAAGAATGCCTCCTCTGCCAAGGATGTTTGCTTGACAGGTTATTGCTCAGGTCTCTGCCACAAGCACTTGCCTTGTTCTGACCTGACCCTCTCCTAAAGTTGCAACCTAATGCCACTCTCAGACAAGAGAGAAGCTACAGCCCCCCCCCCCCCAGTGGAGTCAGATGGTCAACCCTAGTATCTGCTTTGCTTTTTGTAGCCTACTATCATGGATCATCAGTTTAGTGCAACAAATGATAAATCTGATGAGGGACCTAGGGGTTGAGGAGTCATCATAAACCAGTCATCAGGGAGCCTAAGATGGTTCTGCTTCTGGGAAATCCCGTAGGCCTTGTCATCCTGGAGTCACTGGGGGAATAAATAGCACTGGGGCATTTCTCTCTGTGGTTGCAACGCCAATATACCTCATTCCACAGCAGCACTTAGAGGTTCTGGGAGTCCTGGCTCCCAAACCTGGGGCAGGGGCATGGGCCAGGATGGAATGGAAGAATCTAGGATGCAGGGGCTTCGCCTAGCCTTATGGCCCCGAAGAAGGTGGTGTGCTTGCTCATATTGATAGAGATGTCAGCATGTACCATCTTCACGGCAATTTTCTGCCTGGCCTTGAGGAGGCACACGCCTGCAGTGTAACAAGTGTTGTAGTTGGTCTTTCCTGTCTCAATGCTGCGGGTGCACTGCAGGAAGGGCTTCTCATCCACCACCACCTCGTAGCTGGCAAAGTCCGTGAAGTTGATGTAGTACACCTGGGTGAGAGGCAACGAGAAGGGATTGGGGGAGAGAGGAAAAAGAAGGTGGGGCCCTCTCCTGGTGAGCAGATAAAAACCTCCTCAGATGAGCTGCCAGTACACCCTGTGCAGGGGGCAGGGCCACCGGAAAGCCTGCCTGTTGGTCAAGAGGAACAGCAGGTGACAGGGTCACACTGCCCTTCCCCTAATCCTGGGTTCTGGCGGCTGAGCAAGCCTTTCTTACAGACTACCTCAATCCAAGAACTGTGACCTAGTTGTCATTTCGCTGGCCCTCCTCCCTTTCCTTGGCATGAAGCAGTGCTTTGCACAGCTTATGTGTGCTTACTCAATGCTCCAGACACACTACCCTCTAGTTCCCATACTAAAGACAAATTGGGAGTACACTTAGAAACCTTTGGCGTCCCGGGGAGGTCACGGGAATGACTTCCCATGTCTCTAGCATGTGAACAGAAGCTTCCTAAGCTTGCAGCAACACTCATACCCACTGCCCTCCTCGCCTTGCCTCAGCACAGCCCGGCCTTCTCCCTTGCTGACTTAAGAAGCAGATCCTGAGTGCTGAAGAGCCAGCCCAAAGAAATGTGATTAACAGATGCAAGCTCTAGGCTCCTAAACTGATTCTGTGGCCAGGAAGAAGGATGAACCTATGGCCCGGCCTCATGGAGACTTTCTTAGCTCCTATAGGCCACTCCTAATCCTCTCCTGAGTCCAGAAATTTAATTTCCATCTTTCGTTACCTTTTGTCAGCACATCCCACTCTGACCTTTGATTTTTCACCACTACCAAATGGAATTTAGTCGACAGGATATTGGGGTTATGCCCACATGCCCCATAGGAGTGGGGACTTTCCTTCATTTGATACCTTAAATCACATCATAAAATGACTCCATAGGCTCTTTGATTGAAAGCAGCATATTTAAGTGGCACATAATCTCTTGGGTCAGGGCCGAGCTATGAAAGAATACTTTGTGTGCCAGACAGGTGTTTGTTAACCCAACTTCTCAAGTCAGTTTCTCTTCAGTGCCATTTTTTGGTTCCACAGTCCTTCTGTTCATCTCCCAGTTTGCTGCCTGCCTCCCGGAAACCCTGACCTCAAGGCTTGTCTACTTCTAGTTCTGGGGAGAACCCTGACAGAGGCACACAATGAAGGATGGAAATGGGTGGCCACACTGGCAGACCTGTGGGGAGTGGCCCAGGGCAGGAAAAGGGCAAAGGTGGAGGGGGAGAAAGATTTGGGAGAATGAGAATCAAGAAGGAGGCAAGAACAGAAACAGACAGAAACAAATGGGAGAAAAGAGGAAGGAAAGACAGTCAGAAATCATTTTGAGGTAGAGAGAAGGTCCACAGGAGCACTGTTCATTATCATGCCCAAGCTAGCAGTGTTGTGGGGAAGGGCTTCGCAGCTCTGGAACGCAGTCTCCGAAACTTAGAGCAAGGTCAGGTCCATCTCTGGAACCAAACAACTCAGAGGAGAAACAAGGGCATGGGGCCCTGCAAGAAGGAATCAGACAGCAGGGTGTGGGAGGGGACGCCCTCTCTGCCGGGTTTCAGTGATATTTTTCTAGGGAGAGAAAAATGAACCGGGTTCCCTTGGTTTTTCCTCCCTTTAACTCCCTCCCAGTGTGAAAAGCCACCCCTGTACCCAGCACAGCAGGAAGTTAGCCATTGGATGGTCTTGGCTTGCTCCACAGTGCCCCTAGGTGGCCTGCACCAGATCTGCACCCTGGATATAAGAAGAGTTAGGCCTAAGACCGTACTCACTTCTACCTGACTATAGATGAAGTAGGTGCCGTCCACCAGTACCTCCAGCTCCCCACTGCGGGGATGTAGCTTAAACACCTTGGGGTTCATAGTGATGCGAGACCAGTCATTAAGCACTCCACCTGAAAGATCTCAGTATGAGAGAAGGGCAGTCACTCAGTAAATGTCAAAATAAGCTGGGCAACAGAAATAAATAAATATCGAGCAGTACCCCTTCCCCACTCCCCTGTCTAACCCCAGTGAACATAAAAGTTTCAAGGGCCAAGCTTTAAGAAGAGCATTTGGAAGCATGAAAGGTGTACTGTTTGTGAAGTGGCTTCCAGGCCTGTCTCAGGGCCTATGCATCTGCATGTCACTCTCCTGCACTCTCGACTCTTTTATCAACAAGGCTCTTTACCTTCTACCTGGAATCTGAGTTCTTGATGGTGAGGGAGGAGAGTAGGCACATCACCATATTTTCCTTGTTGTTATGGTGGCTGCACAGGCAAAATCCAGACACTGAGTGGCAGGCTAGGTCTCAGTATTCCGTTTCACTTTCTTAGCAGTATCACCTGAATTCCTCTATTGTCTCAGATGTTCGTGTATTTTTGCCTTCTTCTTCATAGATTCTTTTCTATGGCTCCTCCACACCCACTCCTTTCTGGGAAGCCTCCCAAGGGCCCCAGGAAACCACTTAATCAAATGATCCATCTGTCTGGAGAACCAGATAGCCGTAGTTGAGACTCCAAAGCAGCTGGGGATAGTGACTGCCAGTAACCAGGCCCCACAGGTGAGGAAGAACTTTACAATTCTGGGGGATAACCTGCTAGGTTATAGTAGACCAAATGTGCCTAGGAATTGAGGCACCCTTGGCAAAGCCTTTGTCTCGTATCCCTAATTAAGTTGGGGACCCAAGCATGGGAGGATGAAGCGATATTTCTCTTTTCACCCTGAAGATAGAAAGATGCTCCTCCCTACTATAAGAGGAGGGAGACTAAGCTCACAGGGGCTTTTTTCTCTCAGCCATTTGTTCTTCACACAAAAAGAATGTGTTCAGCATCCATCTCTGGCCAGTCTCAGAGAGTCCACCTCTCTGAAGTATGAGGAAAAGATGTGCTGGCTCCAATACTTCAGCGGACCACTCTGATGAGTGTGTTTTCAATGCAGTCTTTCTCCATACCTCTGATGGTCAGCATAAAGTACTACTGGGGATTTGCCCGGAGGGGCTGAAAATTGTCTTTGTTATGGTTGTGGGAACAATATGAATAGCCTCTGCCACAAAATGAACAGGAAGACCACCACTTAGATACCCAAACAAATCGCTTTCCTATTTGACCATGTTCTTCCAGGATAGATGGTGATTATGGCCTGCCTAGGACCCTGGGTCCCACAGTGCCTGGTCCTCCATAGGAATTCTAGTTTTTTTTTTTTTTTCTTACTCTGCTTCTGAGTTGTGTATGTGAGACTATTAGCTGGGTATCAAGTGACAGCCAAGGGAGTAGCTAAGTCCAATGATTAGGAGGAACTCAGCACAGATAGTTCAGGACTGATAGCGCTTTTAGAAGCTGTCCCCAAGTAGAGGTTTTGTAACCTTCGTTTACTGTTTCTGCTCATAGCCCCTCCCTCCCTTTCACTCCAAGCTCTGTAAGCATCTGGTATCTTGGCTGGCTTGCTGCTTTCCAAGACTCCTGGGGATTCATGCAGTTTAGGCTTTGGGCACCCTGGAGACTGGACATTATTTCAAAGCACTGTTCTTTAATGAATGTTCATGTCTGTTTGGGGGAAGAAAATGAACCTAAACATTCAGTGGAGTGTATACACACATCACTGAAGTAGCAGAGCACAGTGCCAAGAGAGCCAGAGGGATGTGGTTTTGAATCTCAGTCCCTAACTTAACTACAAAGTCTTGGGCTAGTTAATTAAGTTTTCTGAGCTTTAGTTTCTGTGGCTGTGAAAAAATAAAGGAGCATTACAATACCTACCTCATAGGGTGGTTGTGAAGGTTAAATGAAACAAAAGACAAAACATCTGGGAATTCTAAATACCATGCAAATACAAAGCAGTACGGTTTATCTTGGCATTTCAAGTCTCTCTGGGACGATGTTTCCCCATCTTATAAATGAAGGTATAACATTTAAATCAGCATTTCTCAGCCCCATTAACAAAGTTTTGTTTTGATAGATACTAGTGCCTCCTATTTCCTGGAAACTAATGTGTCTCCTTCTCTGGGAGAAGCACCCTCTCCACCAATTTTCTGTATAGAGCAATCAGACAAAATCATTTCTTTAATTTACTTCTAACTTATTGAGTTTGGGCTGTGAAAATGCTTATCAAATTAGTCATATTTTCGTGGTGACTCTGACATCACCATCAAGACAACCTAGGAAGATGATGTTGCAAGTCCTTTTCAAGTCCCACTTTAGTGGACTATAAACGTAATTTAGGGGCTGAGGATGTAGTTCAATGGTAGTACACTTGGCTAGCATTCACAAGGCTCTGGATTTGTCCCCATGAACTACAAAAACAAAACTCAGCTCAATGTGGGTGTAGCAACTGGTCTTGGTGCAAGCAGTTACTTAAGACAACCAGTAGAGGGCACTATAGAGTAGGAAATGCCCTTCTATGCCAAGGATACTCGGGGACTTGGGAGGAGCTAGGCTGGCTGATTTTTTTGGAGCCTAGGAATGAGGGAAGAGAAACTCTTTGTAGGGAGAAAGACTACTTTGATTCTTACCATTCTTGACTTGAATTGCTGATCCTTGGCCCTGCAGATGCACCACAGCTGGCTGGGAGGATGAGAAGAAGAGAGTTATTGTAATGGCTGCTTGCAATGTCATGCAGTTCCATTTTATTTACCCCTGGCTTCTAGACTCTTTGTATCCCAATTCTGGTCCCTCTCCTCTGTTTTGCGATATTAGTAGGACTCTGTATCTCTACCACTTCTTCATGATGTGACCCTTCAGCCAAATGTGATGCCTCTGCTCTTTATTTCCCCAACTGTAAATTGGGGATTATAAGAGTCTCTGTCTGGCCACTCTCACAGGGTGAGAACAAATATAAAATTGCCCACTATGACATAACCGACTGTGCAACTGTGTAGATTTATCATTGTGGCCAAATAACTGTAGTGAGGGTAGTTGCCAGGAGGGGACAAAATGAGACTAGGCAGTAAAACTTGCCAAAAGAGACAGACTGGGAAACTTAGACTAGGAAGGAAACTGTAAGGCCATTAAGGGGGAAGCCCAGGATGGCCCTGGCCTACAGCTAGTTGGCTGCTTTTCAAGGGCATACTCTTAAACTTCTCAGCTTCAGATTTCAGGCAGCCTGAGTACCCATCAGGCATCTGGGGTGGCTTGGAAGTCAGAGGCCTAGGTGTACAGGCCTGATAGGCAGGTGGCTACTGGATTTGGCTGTAGTGACCCTCTGTCACTCAGGGAATGACATATCCTCAGGGCAAAGCTTTTCAATTTATAGACCTTTGTAGTGATTGCCAGTGAAAACCTCAGAACCTCTAGGGCAACATAAAATAAAGCCTCAGGAAATTTCATAGGGAGCAAACTTCAAGGTGACCCCAAGCCTGAGGCCATCCCTCCTCCCCAGGTACATAGTAATCCCCAGCCAACCTGGTTTTCTCTAGTTCCAGTTTTATCAGCAGCACCTGCAAAATAGGACAGAAAGTCAGGGTGTTGTGTTCTTTTCTACTTCCCTTTCTTATTTCCAAAGCCAGGGTTTCAGAGCCTGCATTCTCACAGCTCTTAGAGCTGAAAGGAGTCACAGTACAGCATGGGGTTGTCAATGGGAGAGAACACCCTCTCCCTCCTATTCCTGTCCCTGACCTTCATCTTCAGAGGGTCTATATCCGAGTAGGGAAGGTGGCCTCTTGCCAATACTGGCCCAAGGCAAGCCCTACTGAGTACCCATGGTGAACAAGAGGCCATGCCTGTCATTGTATATCTCCAAGACAACGGCACTTGCTTTTTTAGCCCTTTGTTCGCTTCTTACTGATGTCACAAGGGCCACTGCCATTTATAAAGATCCTATTTCGTTACGTGTGTCTTTTTGACTCTAGGCCATAAACTCTATGAGACCAGGGACCACTTAGCAAAATATCTCTTTGTACACAGAAATTGTTCAATTAATATTTGTGGAATGATTGGATTAAAAAAAAAAAAAACCAACAAACCAACAACTTTCTCTCTTGTGTCCATGGTAACACTGCTGAGCCTGTCTGAATTATAAGTGAAAGAATCTGAGTCCTGCTGCTGAATTCTTTTTCTTTTTAATTTTTATTTTTATATTAACTACAGTTTATTCGCTTTGTATTCCAGCTGTAGCCCCCTCCTTCATTCCCTCCCAATCCCACCCTCCCTCCCTCATCTCCTCCCATGCCCCTCTCCCAGTCCACTGAAAAGGGAAGGTCCTCCTCCCCTTCCATCTGACCCTAGCTTATCAGGTCTCATCAGGACTGTCTGCATTGTCTTCCTCTGTGGCCTGGTATTCTTAAACCTAGAGAAATCAGCTACAACAACAGCCCATTTGTTTAAAACCTCAAGATACAGTAGGGGAGCAGGAGAAAGAAATAACAACTAGCATAAGCTCAGGCAGTCTGCCTCCTGTCAGCTCTAATTAGGCAGGTTTGGATCTGCAGCTGTACCTGTTGCCTGCCCTGCTGGGCTCCAGGAGAAAGATGCAAAGAGTTGGAATGGCATTTGAATGAGCAGCCTGGTATTTTAAGGATCTAGTATGAGAAGTATTTGACTCAGGGTGGTCTTGGTGTCTGCGTTTGTTACAGACACAGCCTGAGTGATTCACACATTTCTAACCACTTGACTAGAAGGTGCTACTTGCCCACACCAATGGGAAAGGAGTCTCAAAGTACATGGGAAGTAACTATAATAGGGCTGCCATTTTGTCTAGTCCCCAACATTTCTCCTTAGAAACTATTTCCGTTCAAACATCTTGTGGCACTCTATGCTGGAAATCAGAGCTGGACAAATCTATAATTACAGGAACTCCAGTGAATGGCTGGGACCTCTTTCTTTTACCTGTTTTTGGCTCATATGAGTTTTACTGGCTCACTATATGGGGGACTAGAGCCAAAGATAGAATGTGATGGAAGGGTTGGCATGGGGCAAGAACAGATGGCCTTGTCTGGCACAGCTTGGTCTCAACAAGAGTTAGAGCAGGCCAGGCTCTATCAGAACGTGTTCTTTTCCTACCTCAGCACTGGATTAGGAATTTCTTATTGTACGTCACCACTGTTTGAAACTTCCACGAAGATTACATGCTCCTAAATCTCCAAAAATACTGACAAGGTTTCTAAGGAGTGGCAGACAGAAGAACTCACCAGAAGGTCCTTGGAGGCCAGGGGGTCCTTGAGGACCAGGAGGGCCAGGAGGGCCAGGTGGTCCCATAACAGTTGTTCCTGGGATCCCAGGAATTCCTGGGATCCCTGGGGGTCCCTGAGGTCCTGGAGGTCCTGGAGGCCCCGGGGGGCCATTGGGCCCAGGTGGCCCTGCTTTCTTTCCTAAAATACAGGATTCAGTGTTATATTTGGGGTTAGTTACTGTCAAGAATGCACTGTAAGGAGTTCTAGAGACTTCCAATGACAAAAAGTCAGCCATCTACTTTTTGCTAAAGAACTGGACATGTTTATAATCCCTTGTCTGTACCACATTTCAAGATTGATTTGAGGATATAGAAATGATCAGTCCTCAAGAAGCCCTATGTTGCAGGGAAAATGTTATAAGATATTAGAAGTGCCACATTAATGAGAGAGACTAAGTGCTAAAACAGGTCAGGCAAGACTTCAAAAAGGAGGTTTTGATCTGAGTCCGAAGGATGAGAACTATTAAGGGGCCACTTCATGGTTCTTTTTAGGATTTGATTATCACTGACAAGTGTGGGACTTCATCTTAGCTGTCCAGTACGGTGGACTTAATGAAATTAACAAAAAGGCTAACTGAAGTCTGACTCCCAAAACACTATCAGCTCCAGGAAGATTTGTCAGGAGTCAGATGTGCAGGAGATGGGGGTGGATATGGGCAGCACTGGCTGCAAAAGAAGAGTGGGAAGGAGTTTTGGAAATGAAGGTGGAAAGAGAGGGTGAGAGACTGAAGACAGCCAGAAACAACAGAAAAGAAGGAATAGCAGGCAGAGAGACTTGATGAGGAGGTGGCGGGCTCTGCTTTCTCAGCTGACCTCTTGAAACTCTATTTTTAAAGATCTCTGGGAAAGGAAATTCTGCAGACTCTCTTGGTTACATGTTCCAGTATTTATCACCCCTCACTGCTCAGTGTGAGGAAGTTCTTTGGTCCATGTGACTGAAATCCCTCCTGTGGCCATTGGAACTTCTAATTCTTTGTGTGGCTGGAGAAGAGTAGTCATCATCATATACATAAAATCTCATACACTCAAAGATGTTAAGTTACCTAACAATTTCTATCTTTGTAGGCAAAATAACCCACCTTCCAGAGATTTTCCTTACAGGCTGTATTCTCAGATGTACTGTTTATCCTGTCTACTAACCTTTCGTCCGTTTCTTCTCATTGTCTTTCCAGAACAACCTCAGTCCTCCCGTTTCATATTTTAGTCCTTCTAACATTTCCTCTAGGGTGGCAAGTGAATCATAACTGTTCCTCCTATAGATGTGTTCTTTTTTGAGCAGCTCCACCAAAGGACTGTAGGTGGTCATGGGTAAGTCTACTTTGTCTTTTTTCTACCTTCTTAGAATTTTAATGGGAGTTCCAGGATCGGAAATCTTTTACAATGCCCTCTCCTGAGATAGTTTGTCTTAGGGTTTCTACTACTATGATGAAATATCATGACCAATAACAACTTGGGGAAGAAAGTTTTTTTTTTTTGTTTGTTTGTTTTGTTTTTAAGCTTATATATGCTGACTCGCATTCATTTGAGGGAAGCCAAAGTAGCAACTCAAGGCAGGAACCTGGAAGCAGGAACTGAAGCAGAGACTACAGAGAAATTCTTATTGTTTACTGGCTTGCTCCCCATGGCTTGCTCAGCCTGCTTTCTCATACAACTTTCTGATACGCCCAGGGTGTCACCACCTACCATGGGATGGGCCTATCCACACTAATAATCAAGAAAATGCCCCACAGAATTGCCTACAGGCAATATGATAGAGGTATTTTTCTCAACTGAAGTTCTGTTTTTCAAATAACTCTAGCTTGTGTCAAGTTGACAAACAAACAAAACCCCCAAATTAAAAAAACAACAACACAATAATAGCCAGGTCACCTTCATTATAAATCTTTCTTACTGGATTCAACTCCTCATTCCTGAGATATTTTACTCTGGAGAATTCTCTCCTGATTTATCAAATCCTCCTTTAAGAATAATGTTTCACCCAGAGGCCTTGAACAGACCAATGACTCACTGCAATGATCATTTGTAAGAGAAACTGTTTGAGCAAAACAGTATACCATGTGGCACATTGTGACATACCATGACATACCGCAGCTTCCATGGTGATAATTTTGTTTGTTTGTTTGTTTTCTTTTGGGGGAGGTTGTAAGAGCAGAGGGTGGATTTGGAGGGACAGGGAGATGAGGGGGATTGAGGTGCATGGTGTGAAATTTACAAATAATCAATAAAAAGTTAAAAATGGAAAAAAGAATAATGCTTCATATCTAAAAAAAAAAAAAAATCCAAGTATCCAAGAAAGGGCCATAAAAAAGGGCAGCTATCAACATCTAAGCACACACCCATTTAGAATGGAACAGTGGATCAGAAGGGGATCTCTTCTTCAGAGAAGAAAGCATAGTCCTGAGAGCATTTCTTCAAGAAGGGTTGTAGTGCCTTAAAGACTTAGAGGCACAAAGTACGGTGTTTGCCATGCCATGAACTTAGCAATTAAGATGTGATCTACTCAGTTTTATAGATCTAGCCAATTTTAAGATGCTGAATAGGAAAACCATCTCCTTTTAGATTTGTATAGCTTCCAAGTCAGGCTTATTTAGCACCCAAATTTCAATTCTAGTTAGTGTAGTGGAAAGAACATGGGACCTGGACTCCGGAGATAAGGATGTAAACCCCAGCCTTGCCACAGAGGCATTCTGAACCTTAGTTTCTCCATCTGGGAAACAAGGAGCTTGCCCTTTCTGTCTCTTTATGAGACAGATTTCACAAGAAATACTGAACTAATGTTAGTTGGAAAACTTCTCAGCCTAGATGTAAGTTGTGTGTCTCCCCCATTTTCCAGTTGGAATAGACAAAGAAGTTGACATATAGCTATCAAAGTTGGCTGCTGTGGGGTCCAGCATTCTCAGGCCTCACAGAGATTTTGCAACTAGAGAGTGTTCTGTGGGTAGCACAAACTTCCACTCCAAGAACGCGTGTCCCTTGTAATCGCCTAAGGTAATTTTAGAAGGATTACATTCAGAGCCCCCTTCAGTCCAAAAGAATAACAGTAGCAGTATAAATAGAGGGTATGTTAGAAGGCACCTACTGGAATCAGCTTCTGAAGCTGGCCCTCTTTGCTCCTCCACACTTGGACAAGGAAGCCCCTCATAGTTGCATTCTTATAGAAAGTTAAGGCCAGGGAAGGGTATGCAGAAAGTGACCTCTGGACCAAGAGATCAAATTCCTTCTTTAGATTCCCTAACTCTGACAGAATACTTCATGATACAAAAGCCTAGCAACGTTTGTACTGAGAAAGTTACCCTGTGTAGTCTTAGATAAAAGCATGATCAGATAATTTCAAAGCCAAATTTCATCAAAGGTGCATTTTCCTAACCCTTTCAGCTAAGTCCCAAATGTTGAGAGAACAATGGAAAGCAAGTGAGTAAAGGGAGTCTGGGGGTGGAGGGAAGGAAGATGTGTAATGGGAAGAGAGAGGAAGAGCTGTGTGAGGAGGAAAATTCCACCAAAGGGTGAAAATTAAGTTTTTCAATTTAACTCTTCAAGTATGTGCCTATTCACTTTGTCCAAAAAAAAAAAAAAAAAAAAAAATCCGTCTTAAATGGCTTCTAAATCAGTTTTAAATAAAGTAGATGTTTAAGGCTTATGTGCATTTTCTTTCTAATAATGTTCTCTACATACGGTAGCAATGTTAGGCAATGATGTCAGTTATAATTTCTACCTTGAAAGGATGTTACAAGAGTCAAGAACTGAATACTCAAAACTCAAATTCACTTCTTTAAGAGATGGAAAATCCTGGGGTAAATACCAAGGAAACTGCACAAAGATTCTGAGCTCACTCCAGTTCTCTGTTCTTTACTAACTTCACTCAATTCAGGTCGTCTGAAGGCTGGGCGTTTGTTCAGCTTTTTTTTTTTTTTTTTTTTCTTTTTCAGTAGGAGCACAAGTTTGATAAGTAGCTAAGGGTACCTGAAGTAGTAGAGTACCTATTGCTCAGAGGACTAGCAGGCAACCTCTGTAGTTAGCCTTTTAAGGCAGTTTGGAATGCTCTAGAAAGCTCCATAAATCTAAACAGACAAAAATTACTTAAAAACTATTTACATTTATTTATTTTATTTTCTGTGTCTAAGTGTTTTGCCTACATGTATGTGTGTATATACATTACATGCATGCCTTGTACCTGAGGAGGACAGAAGAATGCCTTGGATCTCCTGGAATTGGAGTTCCAAATGGTTGTGAGCCGTCAAGGAGATGCTGCAAACGACACCCAAGTCTTTTATAAGAGCAGTAGGTGCTCTTAACAGTTGAGCTATCTCTGCAGCCCTGGTAAGGAATTTTAAGGTCCATAATCCAAACTACTTGGGAGGCTTAGGCAGGCAGATCACTAAATTTAAGGTTGGCCTGGGCTACAGAATGAGTTCAAGGTTAAGTGAGACTATGTCTCATTCAAAGAAAGGAAAAGACCACGAGTGATGTAGTCCAATACCAGCATGTGAATAGTACATTTAAAGCCCTGGGTTAAGTTCCCAGTATCATACAGATAGAGGAAAAAATGAAGGATTTTAAAAGTGAAACTCACTAGTTTTACATTTTCTTTGTCTTCCAAAACAAAGAAACAAAAAGGTACATAAGCTGATTTCACAGTTGGTTCTTTTTAGTGCAAAGACGTGAATTCTATTTGCCTGCTCCTTACTCACTGCTTTTTCTTTGAACACTCTTCCTTAGGCAAACAAGCAAGCCCTCCATGTGCCCTTGGCTAGCCCCTTGTTACATGCAGTGTGGACTTAGAAACCAAGGATGGCACATTGAATCACTACAAATAGCATCTACTTTAAAAATATGAAAGGAACAGAGTAACACAGTAGCACACACACACACACACGTATATATATATATATATATCACAGAGCAAATGATGTTGAATTTTCAAAGAAGTGGTATCGTCTTTGATCATCTGGGAAAGTAAAGCAAAGAACCAATGTACCTTTCCATAGGTAGTGTTTCTTTTCTCTATAACTAATCTTGGGTCTTCATTCATACTTGATAACTGATATGATAAAGGAGGATGAAAGAAGAAAATGAAGGCAATGGACAGCGCAAGGAACAAGATAATATGAACTGGAAACAGACACGTAAAAAGGAATAAGAAAGAAGAACCAAAATATTGGCTTGGAATATAATGTAGTGGTAGAGCTTTTGCCTAATATACTTAGGTCAAAGACCCTGGGATTGATCCCCAGTACATGGGGAAGGGGAGGATAAAAGGAATAAAATAATGATAATAATAATAATAAATCCAAGAAAGACAACTTGTATGTTTTGCTTGAGTCAATTCTATCTTCTGTGGCTCATTACTGAAGAGCTAATTCTTGCTCTTTATAAAGTGCAACACTCAAGTAAATGAATAAAGTAACGGACAACCAGTGTTGAGAGAAATTAATGCAAAATGCTATCTTGTTCATTTTTTCTAACTAAAAAAGATGTGACAATTTAATAAAATTAGGAAGTTCAACTTACCTTTTTTCTTGTTTTTAACAGGACCTATTAGAAATAGAAGATGGAAGATTAAATTAGTAGAAATAAAAATGCTATTCAATGTGTATGTGTATATATATATATATATATATATATATATAATATGTATATAAATAATATATATATATATAAAATGGAACCTGAAGGCCCTGTAAATTTAAGGTCATACCATAGCCATGGGTCAGGTTTAAAGCAAGGTCCCTATCTACTGGCCAACTATCAAGTTTCTCCCATCTGTTTGCTGATTATTGAGACTGCAAAAAATACATGAAGGATACCTCCCTTGAGAAAAACAAACAAACAAATTTCCCACTTTAGTTGGGAGTAAACGAAAGGGTCTTCCTCTGTACAGATGAAATACACAGAAATGCCCAACCTAACCACATCAGGATGGCATTCCTTTCATTCTGCAACTCCCGAGGTTGTAAAGACATGCATTCAGGTGAAGCTGTGATGCTAAGTTTCAGATGCAGATACTAGAAAGGGAAAAGTGCTGTTCTTCTGGAAGGAGCAGAGCAGCAGTAGTTTACTTTTTAGTCACTTACTGTGATTGAATTTGTTAGTTATTAGAACTGTGCAGCCAGAATGCATTCATGTGGGGGCCACATGCACTCCCACAGCTATTTACCATAACTTCATAGGAAATGTCCACAGTTTCATTGGAAGTGGGCTCAGAAGTGTCTTCTCACGTATTGTTTTTAAGGAAAGCAGTTTTAATCAATAGGAGAACTCAGAAAGCCAAATGCATTTCTAATACAGTTAGGTGGCGTTAGGGCACAATAATTCTCTAGACAGCCATAGTTTGGGTCTCAGTCATTTTTATTCATACGAGTTGAGGTTTCTTCTTTCTTTGGAGGAATCTAACTTTCTTTAGACACAGGTGTTTAACTCTGTTCCAAATTGCTACAGAGCCAGTATTGCACAGCACTAACTCTCAGTGTTCTTAGTTTACAGGTCATGTGTATTATGTAACTTGATTTTTTGTAAGAGCGTAGAACGATCTTCACCTATGAGATCAGGTTTCACAGGAAGCTAATAGAGTCTTTAACCCGGAAGATCTTAAGTGTGGCCCCAGAGCTGCATATGTCCTTTAAAAGAAAAAAATGAAAGTCTGTTTAGATTTCCTCCCCAAAATCTGGAGCAGTATAGGAATTGTGTGAAGTGTGCAGAAGCTGTTTTGGGTTCAGTGTGTATAACTGAAGATCATGAATTTCTCTTTTCATATTCCCCTTTTTCTTCTGGTCCTTTGTACTCTGATTTTAAATGTGTCATCTAGGTTGGTCTTGAACTGCAACCCATCTGCCTCAGTCTCCTGAGTGCTGGGACACAGTCATGGGTCACACATCACTCCTTTACATTGCTTTTCAAAAGGGCATTAAGCATCCTTGAGAATGTGCATAGAGGTTCTGACAGGGGAAGAGGCAACAACATAACCTGAGGAGTGCCTTGTTCTCGAATAAGAAAGCTGTTTAAGGAAGGGTTTACACAGAAAGGGCCCAGCCTCACCAGCAAGCAACCAACTGGCCAGTTAGCCACCCCAGCCTCATAAGGAAGGGTAGTAGGATGGAAGCTGATGCAGCTGCCCTGCCCTCATAGCTAATGTGGCTTACCCCTGGTCTACTTTTTGGCCATTTCAACTAGTTAAGGGATAGGGTTATTGACTAGATTCTGAGGCAGTCTGGCCATTACCAGCCAGCTGGTCTTTTCTGAGCATGCCTATGGAAAGTAGCATAGTAAATAGTGCCAGAATACCATCATCATAGAACTTACAAGTTGGATAGAAAAATACTAAATGAAAGCCTGTTAGTTTTCAAACTAGGGACAAATGGCTGGGGCGCCTATTGAATGTATCAAATTGGACCTGGCCTACATCCCTACATCCCTCAGTCCCCACCTGTAACAGCGTCGTCCTGGCATACCCTGCGTCCTACCCTGAATTCTCTATCCCAGGGGGCTGAGCTGCTCTTCTGAAGATAATCCAACCATTTTGGATGCCTGCTTTTTTTGTATCTTTGGGCCTCCTGGCTGTTGAACCTGGTCTCCTTTTCGCCCCTCTTCTTACCTTCCCACCCATGGTCCCGCTCAGGGACCTCTATACTCTGGACTCTCCAAGTGGTCCCTGTTTCTACCTATGCTCTCCCTTTTACCTACAATAACCTTTCTCCTCCACCAAACCTAGCAACAGACGTGTTTCCTTTTCTTTTCCTTTTTTCTTTGTTTGTTCGTTTCAAGAAAACAAGCTCTCCTTAGATGTACAAGTGATAAAAGGGAAAGGGGACAAGTTCCAGTTGTTTGCTTGTTTTTTTTTTTTTTGTATTTTATTTTTTTCTTATCAGTTACATTTTATAACTCTGTACCCCAGCCGTGTCCCGATCCCTCATTCCCTCCCAGTCCTTCCCTCCCTCCCTCCTCTCCACCGTACCCCTTGCCAAGTCCACTGATAGGGGGGACCTCCTCCCCATTCATCTGATCCTATTTTATCAGGTATCTTCAGGACTGGCTGCAAAGCTCTCCTCTGTGGCCTAACAGGACTGCTCCTCCCTTGGGGGGTGGGGAGGCCAAAGAGCCAGTCATTGAGTTCTTGTTAGAAATAGTCCTTGTTCCCCTCACTATGGGAAACCAATTGGTTACTGAGCTACCACAGGCTACATCTGAGCAGAGGTTCTAGGTTACATTCATACATGGTCCTTGGTTGCATGTCAGTCTCAGAAAAGACCCTGTGTCCAGATATCTTTGGTCCTTGTGGAGCTCCTATCCTTTCCTCATCAGACTAACTCCTTTTCTTTCTTATGATTCCCTGTACTCTGCCAAAGGTTTGGTCATGAGTCTTTGCTTTGAAAACACTGCTAGTTAGAGTCTTTCCAATGCGCTCAGTAGACTCCTGTCATACGTTCAATGCACATCCCATCTGTCATTCTAAACGAGGATTGATCATCTTACCCCATGTCCACTCTCTTGATTATCTTTTTTAGGTGTACAGATTTCATTATGTTTATTATATCTTATAGGTCTATATAAGTGAGTATATACCGTGTTTGTCTTTCTCCTTATGGGATATTTCACTCAGGATGATCTTTTCTAGGTCCCACCATTTGCCTGCAAATTTCATGATTTCCTCCTTTTTGATTGCTGAGTAGTATTCCATTGTGTAGAAATACCACAATTTCTGTACCCATTCCTCTGTTGATGGACATCTGGGTTGTTTCCAGGTTCTGGCTATTACAAATAAAGCTGCTATAAACATGGTTGAGCAAATATCCCTTTTGTGTACTTGAGCAAACTTTGGGTATATACCTAGCAGTGGTATAGCTGGGTCTTGAGGAAGCACTATTCCTAATTGTCTTAGAAAGCGCCAGATAGATTTCCAGAGTGGTTGTATCAGTTTACATTCCCACCAGCAGTGGAGGAGGGTTCCCCTTTCTCCACAACCTCTCCAGCATGTGTTGTCCCTTGAGTTTTTCATTTTGGCCATTGTTTTTGCACAGGAGGTCTTACTATGCAACCCTGTCTAGCCTGGAATTCACTTGTGTCCCAGAGTTGCCTTGAACTCAGAACTCAGAGAAATCCTCTTGCTTTAGACCCCCAAGTGTTGAGATTTACAGTCAGGTACTTTGGAAAAGGAATTTAAACAAATGATTTGTACAAAAATCTTGCCAAGGATCTACAGTTGAGGAGGTCATAGCTCCATGGGTAAACCTACCTACTATTTGTTTTTATAAACGGACATTGTATCACACTGCTCTCTAAATTGCTATCTCTTTAACCATAGATGACTGCAGCCTTTAGACTCCATCAGAGAAGTATCTTTTTATAGTGGATGGTGGTAAAAGTAGGAACTTACAAGTGCTCAAAGCGCAGGGAACAAGTGTTAGTGGAGTACTTGGCCATAAACTATTGTACTGGCCAATTTTATGTCAACTTAACAGAAGCTGTAGTTATCTGAGAGAAGGGAGTCTCAACTGAGAAAATGCCTCTATAAGACTGGGCTGTAGGCAAGCCTGGAGGATATTTTCTCAATCAGTGATTGACAGGGGAGGGCTCAGCTTATGGGTGGTGTCATCTCTGGTCTGATGGTCTTGGAGTTCTATAAGAGAGCAAACTGAGCAAGCCAGTAAGCAGCATCCCTCCATGACCTCTCCATCAGCTCCTGCTTCCAGGTTCCTGCCCTGCTTGAATTCCTACCCTGACTTCCTTTGATGATGAACAACAATGTAAATCCATAAGCCAAATTAACCCTTTCTTCCCCATCTTGCTTTTGGTCACAGTGTTCTATCCCAGCAATTGTAACCCTAACTAAGACAACTATCAAACATATTTCCCCTTTCCCATAACACTCAGGTTCCATTGTAGGAGACTATGAAAAGACTGTAAGAGCCAGAGGTGAACATGGGCCTGAACATGACAGCTATACAGCTGTACTCATGAACTCATTGTAGCTGTGGCCGCCCATGCAACACCTGTAGAAGACCAAGCCAGGAAACAATGGAACCTGAAAGTGTCAGGGGAGCTCAGTTTTCTTTAAGGGTATTGGCCCTGGTAGACCTACCACGTTACAGTGGGTGGTCCCACACTGTAAGCTTATGGGCAAACACACATTAGACTCAGTGTGCCAGCCAAGAAATGGAAACAGCCTAGGTGTCCAGCAACTGATCAACAGATAATGAAAGTGTGGGGGTGTTTACAGAACAAAATAATTACTATCCAGCTGTTAAAAGCAAAATTATGACACTTTTGGGTAAACACACATCCTGGGTGTGGTAACTCAGGCCCAGAAAGGCAAATGTCATGGTTTGTTCCCCCTTTGATTTGCGGATGTCAGTTGTTGCTATTGGTTTTGTTTCTGTTTTTGGAGACAGCAGGGTCTCTCTATGTAACCATGGTTGGTCTAGAACTTCCTATGTAGGCCAGGCTGGCCTTGAACTCACAGAAATACTCCTGCCTTTGCCTTCCAAGTGCTAGACTTAAAGGTGTGTGCCACTACATTCCGCACAATGGATATTAATTTT